TATTCAAAGAGGTTACCTCGGCTTCGTTTAGATAGCATCGCGAAGCATCATTCCTTCTTCCGTTTATTCCTTCCTTCTTTTCTTCCCTCATTCCTTTTCTTCTCCCTTCCTACCTTCAAAAGATCGGCAAGAAGATGCGATGAGAAATTAACTGAACCGTCGCAGCGAGAGAACATCCGTACCGTTAAACCACGTTCATGCACAAATGTTCGTGGGAACCTCTGGAAAAAGTGTGTACATCGATTTGTAGGGTCCGCAAATTCGGCGGAATCTTAAATATCAGTGCTACCGCCCAAGAGGACCTGGCTGAAATTGGCTACTAGCCTGCCCACGGCCCCATTTTCCAAGTTCTTTGGAAATCATGGCGCAGTTCGGCTAGAGGGGGCATTTTGTACTTCTGCTTCTTTTCATCGTCGTGTCGAGCCATCAAGTGACCCGTGTAATCCTGTAAAGTCATGAAGTGATACCATTCAAAGCTCTAGAGAACACTTGTTAACTCCTGTAAAGAGTACCTGTTAGCACTTGTAAAGCAATGAACATGACGATGGAAAGTAGCGAAAGTGTCAAGTGCCCCTCCCCGTCGGCGCCAAGAAATATTTCTGTTGTTTTCTTGTTCTCATATATGTCTTGACTCCCATCACAAAATACCACACCTTATTGGACATTCATCATTCTCATGCATTTTTAAGTCGTGTGAACCTCTTTCTGCTGCTTGATTTCCTTCCTTCAGTTATTACTTTTTTTTCTTTCTTCGGCCAACTCATTGCAATGAGCGGATTTTAATTTAGGCGAAAGATAGAGAGTTTGGCGAGAATGAGTAATATGACGCAAGAGGACGTCTCGACGGGCCTCCGAACCGTCCAACAAGGCCTCGAAGCACTTCGTGACGAACACAATAACGTAGGCGCAACTATTGAAAGTAGTCTTAAAGGTGAGTGTGCAAAAGTGAGGTTTTGTTTACCTACGCGATCTTCCTTGCAGTCGTGCATCCTCAAGCTTCGCGATTTTATAAACAGGAAACGTCCTGCCGTAGGGGAATAATTTAGCAAAATCCCCTCTAATTTTCTGCTCTGGTGCGATCCCCCATTCCATATTTTCTCCCAAAAAAAAAACTCCGGTATTAAAGCACACTCCACATTTGCTATACGTTTGAAACAAAGCGTAGGGGAAAAAGCTTGAGTGGATAAACCTTCCTGTCTGGACGGAGAGCCCAGGGCGGAATTTGAAATTTTAACCTGCTAAGTGAGCGTCCATACTTTGCGGCAGCGTTTTGAGCGACTCGGAAATTATGGATATCGATCCGTCGTTCGTTTTAGTAAGAATCGATAGCTATACTTTCTTAATTGTTCAAATCGCTGGCAGACGCTCGAAACGCTGGATCGATACTTATAATTTCGTCGCTCAAAACGTTGAAAACGCTCAAAACGGTAACAATCACTCAAACCACTGCCGCAAAGGATGAACGGATTCTGAGTTCAGCGGAGCCCAGCGCCATCATATAGCGCTGAAATCCCTTATGAAGCGCCAGCAATAAAGGAGTTGATATGAATATAGACAGGCCAGAGACTTCCCCGCCAACCCTTAACTCTTGATTTTTCATGGCTTCCTATTGAAGTGACGACACCAAGAAGAAGTACCTTGTTTGAGCTATGTAATTACTAATTTCTTACTTCTACGCAAACAAATCTGCATGCGGATGGCAGCAGCATTATCCCCGAGGTCGTTTCCAGGGCATACATTAAACGAGGGTCTACATTTCACACTACATTTAGCAGTGGGATCGCCTGGCTGACGTCCCGATCTCATTCATATTTTATTATGATAATTGCTGCTTAGCGACGTAATTCTCGCTGCGAAAGTTGGCTTAAGATTGCTGATTATGAGTAAAGGGGCAGTTCGGTGACGGGGGGGCATTTGTACTTTTGACTTCCCATGTAGAGACCCATCTAGAAAGTTCTTCGAGTTGACGGGTTTCTCAGTTTTTTGGCTCGACGAACTTGCTCAAGCTTCACAACAGTTCACAGGTTTCACCAGAGTGGGACTTGTAAACCACAATAGTGAGGCAGTGGAAATACCAAATGCCCCCGCCTACGTCGCCGAACTGCGCCGAATAAAAGTTATACCCCGGGCGGACTCGATAGCATCTCCCACTTACCGGGCAGATTATGCAACTGAATGTTGGCGTTGTACCGTTGTCATACCGCCTTAGCAATAATTATACCTAGATTTACTGGTAAACGGTTGTTGCTCTGTAACTTTGATTTGAAACTTCTCACAAGACCTCTGTAGGATGACATTTTGTGCGGATTGTATGGAACCCCATACTGTAGAAAACGGAATGATGGAATCGTTGTTTCTGAAACGCTGCTAATTGAACGTGTTCCGAGGCAGTTTTTATTTTCTGCCGTTCAGAGGAGTGTTCCTCCCTAAACGAATTCTGCGTACGGTCTTCTTGAAACATGGGGAAATTAACATGAGATGCTCCTACTTTTGCCGCGCAGGTTTGTTACGGTTGAACCGTTTTACGGGGTCGCTGGTGCGAGCAATTCCTCCTCCTTAAAGACTTGAAAAAGGTTCAGAGTTCTTTGTAGTGTATGTAGTATTCTCGGCCAAATAACTATCGCACTGATTGAAACGCAACTTAGTAAAGCGGTTTCACCATAACTATCTTACAGAAAGGTAAAAGAAAGCCCAATCGAACGCAGCTCAACTTTTGCAATAGAATAGCACCAGTCATATTTTGTTTTTCCAAGTAATTTTCCTTTTTTTCTGCACGTTGTAGTTAACAGGATACATGGAGACTGTTCTGAAC